ACCCCCTCCACACACACACACACCCACACACCTGGTCCGCCAGCAGCACCCCCATGTTGGTTGCCGCCACCAACGTCTCCGGGTGGCTCTCCCCCAGGGAGGCCCCACACACCTCCAGACACCGCCCGTACAGCGCCAGGGCCTCCTGGGCCTTGTGCGGGCTGCTGGAGCGCTGGCGCTGAGGGGGGGGGACGCGAGGGGAAAGAAGGGGGAGGGGTGATGGGGGCTCGGGGGGGTGGAGGAGGGTATTGTACGGCGGGGACGTAGCGGTGCTGACGCGGGTCGAACCCCTGGGTGACCTTGCACGTATGCATGTATGCATGTATGCATGTCTGTCTGTCTGTCTGTCTGTATGCAAGCCATACAAGACCGCGTCCGAGTAGGCTTTAACCAGCCCCTTTTAAACCCCTCGTCACTCCTCCATAGCCTTTCGCCAATCGGGGAGGCTGAAATAAATACACAAGAACAACTATCTGTAAGTTGTATGCCGTACACACCACGTACACACACATACGCAAATCGCCGGTGCGCGGCCCGCACCTTGAGGCACAGGGCCAAGTTGTTGGCAGCGGTTGCAGTGTGCGGGTGGTCCTTGCCGTACACTCGCTCGGTGAGAGTGAGGTTGTCTCTCAGCAGCTGCTCGGCAGCCTGAAGTTAGTTAGTTAGTTAGGGGTAGTGGAGGGTCGATAAAAGGACGCGGAGACAAACATACACATATACACTCAAAAACAGACATACGGACCTGCAGACATATAAACAGGCAGACAGACGAGCAGGCAGCCAGAAGGACACACAAGCACAGACGCACAGATCGTCGGCAACTTCAACAACAACGCCCCCAACCAAGCTGTTGTGTGTTTGGGCTCTGGTCCCCAACCGCCTTTGCTAACCCCCAACTAACTAACTGCCCGAACCCCTCCTCCCCATTTCCCCTCTCTCCCCCCCATACTCCCCCCCTCCCCCTAACCCCTCTCGCCCCTAAAGCCCCCAACCCTTACCAGGTATTTCCCTCCCTCCATAACCAGCGCAGCGAGGTTAGCACGAGCATCCAGCGCTGTTAGCCCGCGGGCCTCCGAACTGGACACCTGCAACAACTGCGCGCGTGTGTGTGCGGCGTGTGCGTGTGCGTGTGTGTATTGGAGGGTTGGGAGGGAGTGGCATGGGCGCATGGGGTTGCGAGGGAATGGAGATGGATGTGCAACAACAAACGATCGGGCGGGAAAACACATTTCCAAAGATATTTCCCCCCCCTTACCTCCCTTTCCCCCCTTCCCCCCTCCCCCCTCCATTCACCTCCACGGACACCTCCATGAGCTCCCGGGCCTCCCGCATAAGGCCCGAAGACGCACCCGCGGAACGGCACCGACCCGCTCTCTCCCGCTGGGGTGGGGTTGGGGGGTGGGGAAGTGGGGGTGGGTGCGGGTTTTGGGGACGTTTGGGGAAGTGAGGTTTGGGGGGTGCGGGGTCGGGAGAGATGTCAGAGACGGCAAGCCGTACTGGTAGCAGTACTAGTACAAATGGCAGTACTGCGGCACAGGTTGGCGATATGGCATATCCGGATCGCACCCGCCAGCGCTGCATTCCGATTCCCCCCAGCTCCCCACTGCCCCCTTCCTCTACCTGCACCAGGCCCAGGGAGTGAAGGGACAGTCCCACCAACTCAACACTCGTACGGACGTCCCCTCTGAGGGGGACAGAGCCGTCTCCGCCGTCACCTCCGGGCGGAGGTGACGGCAAAGGCGCCACAGCCCCGGCCCGCCGCGCCTCCGCCTCCACGGCCTCCGCCGCCAGCTCCGAAACCAGGGCCCTCAGCGCCGCCAGCAGAGCCGCCAGGGGATCCCCTGTCAGGGGCTCCAGGGAGGGGAAGTGACGGGGGGAGGAGGAGGCGGCGGCGGCGGCGCCGTCGCCAGCGCTGCTCCTGCTGGCGCTACTCGTCGCCACCGCCAGGGCTGCCGCCAGCTGCGGCGCCACAACGGTGGTGGCGGCGCACATCTGCAACCGGCGCAACCGCCGGCTCAGCGCCGCCAACAGCATGTCGTACGCTGTGTCGTACTCTCCTAGCGTGTAGTACAACATGCCGAGCTCGTCCAGCGCGCATGATTCCGTGTGACCCACGCCGTATGCCTCGTCCAAAAAAGGAATCACCTGCCGTATAGACACACACGACGTACGACACCCTTATACGCGTACGCATGCGACTATTGCACATATCCCTTCATGTCTACCCATTCACTCAAAGATAGAGCGTCGGTTTGGATTCGAGCGAGCACCTAACGGCACCTTGGCGGATTTATTCGGCTCGTTCTCTAACTTCGTACCGAACATTCCAAATCTGCAATTACGCATACGTGCTTGCTGTCTGGGCTCCAGGCGCACCCGCCGTACAAGTTTCCTCGTACAATCCTGCGGCCTTGTGTACGGCATAATGGTGCCCCCGCCCCCGCCCCCACCCCCACCCCCACCCCCGCCCCCACCCCCACCTGCTGCTCCAACAGCCCCACTGCCTGGCGGGTGCTCCCCATGTCCTTATGACATCCGGCGACACAGCGAAGAGCCTGGGGGGGGACGGGGGGGAAAGGGACGAACCACGAACCAGTGAAGCTGCTGCCAAGGAAAGAGTGTACAAGAAGCAGAACTGACCAGTAGAGGAGGGGAGGGGGGAGCGTTTAGGAGTGGCGAAGCACGCTGGTTATGACACGGCGTGGGATGGGGGGCGGCTGGCGCACTCGGACATACATACACATACACACACAACAGTTGATGTTGTACGGCATACAGGGTGCAGCATTAGGACCAGGTGTAAGGAGAGGACAACTTGCGAGCCAAGGTGTACGGCAACGGCGGGGGGAAAAGCCAGCCAGGGAAGACGCACCCCGACATGCATACATACATACACACACACCAAGGCTCAGGACGACAACCCGAACCCTAACCCCCCCTCCACCACCCACTCTCCCCCCACCAGGGGAAAGAGGACGACCCAGGGAGAGGCCCCCAGTCAACCTCGACACATACACACACACATACATACACATACACACACATATACACACACTCGCGTCCCACCCACCCCCCTACCCCCATACACCCTTCCCCACCCACCCTGAGCGTGTCGGGGTGTGCGGGACCCAAGCAGCCGCAAAACACATCCGCAGCTTCACGCGCGGCCCCCAGCGCCGCCGCTCCGGAACCTGCCGTACGCAGCAGGAAAGCCGCCCTGTACGCCCTCTCCCCGTGAAGGGGTGTTCGAGGTACGGCAGCTCGTGCCCTGTCCAGGTCGTGACAGGCGCTCTGCAGTTGTAAAGAATGGCGGGGTGCGGTCGGGGGGGCATCACAAGGGTGGGGTTAGATCTTAGGCCAAGGCGAAGGTAGGGCTGCTACTGCTGCTGCTGCTGCTACTGCTCATCCTGTAGGCACCCAGGCACCAAGACGTCCCTCGCTCCCCCCCTCCCACACTTCCGCGTCACCTCCCTCCTCCTCCCCCCCTCCGCAAACCCCCTCTTCGGAGTCGCGGGGGCCCCCCCACCCCCGCTGAAGCGGGGGAGAACCCCCCTCCAGCGCCCTGCCTTCCTCACCATCCCCCCCCCACCCCCTGCCACTCATTCCCCCCCACACACACCGCCCCCCACCAGTCGGAGGGATGTCCCTTCCTAGGAAGAGGGAGGCGCGCTGCTGTTGCTGCTGCTTGCAACAAATTCATGCACATACCTACATACCTACATACCTACACATGCTGAAGGAAATACCTTTATCGCGCGGGGTTCCCCCCCGGGACCCGACCCGGTCCGCCGTCACCGCCTTACCCCCCACCCCCACCCCCAC